AGTTTCAGAAATAATTTTTTGTGGATCTATAGAGTAGAAGGTTGTAGTGAGGAAAATAGTAGATTTAAATTGTAAAGAATTGTAGATTCAATTAATTACTGTGAATTGTAGATTTAAATAATTATTCTATAAGTTGGAAAAAAAAAACAATATTCAGGTTACAAATTTTTTTTTTTTTTAATATCTTTGCTTCCAACAAGGCTGCAAGCAACCACTAATTAATGTTAGAAGTTACTGGAAGAGAAAAGATGAAGATTGTAGAGCAAGATAACAATTGACAGACAACTTAAAAGATTGCAAATTATATGAATCAGGAAAGCAAGATGAAGGAAGCGAATTTCAAAGAACTGATGTCTAAGGGAAAAAACTAGACGAATAAGAGTTTTTGGAGCACTTAGGAACAGTAACAGAAAAAAGATGAGACTTAATTGAATGACGAATAACACAAGAATGAATTTTAGTAGATGGCACAAGAGACGCTAGCTCTTTAGAGTAGTGCTCATTATAGTATTTGTAGAAAAGAGAAAGAGAAGCAACATTACAACGATGCGATAAAAGTTGAAGGTTCATTACGACAATGTGACAAAGGTTGAGGTTGGGTGCAAGAGCAGGTCCAACTATGTTTACAATGCGTTTTTACACATTGTCTAAAAAAGAAAGGGCATCTTTAGAAGATCTGCCCCAGATATGGCAACAGTATTCCATACAAGGCTGGATTTGAGATTTATAGAGATAGACAATAGAATCAAGAGTAAGAAAGTGTCGAGCTTGATAAAGAGATGCAACTTTAGCAGATGCTAATTTTGCAACGGATTTAATATAAAATTTCTAAGAAAGATCAGAAGTAAGAGTTAATCCTAGAAGATGAAGGGTAGATGACTCATCGGGTACATTACCGTTCATAAATATAGAAAGGTCTAAATTATTGCGATAATGATTGGCTAAAAAGAAATTGAGTTTTATCTGAATTAAAGTTCACCAGCCACTGTGAGCCCCATGCTGTAGCAGAAGTGAGATCCTTTTCAAGCTCAAATGCCCCCTGCAAGCAATCAGAGGGAGTTGGCTTCTTATCGTGACAAGAATAAATGGTAGTATCATCAGCAAACAATGCCACCTTAGATGTGAAAATATCTGGAAGATTGTTAATGTAAATTAAAAAAAATATAGGGCCAAAGATTGAACCTTGAGGAACATATATGTGGTGAACCTAATTACTCTTTTATTTAAAATTTATTTAACTCAAAATATAAATCAACCAACACTTTAAATAAATAAAAAAAAAACAACAAACATATTAGACTCAGTGATATCAGAATCTTTGGCTAGAATTTTTAAAATAGAACGCATATTAAACTTTTTTTGAATATTTCTTGAATATTTTAATATTCTCGTTTGTTTTTTCTTTGATTCTCTTGTTTTTTAATTGATTGGATAATAAACAGACACGGTTTTTTTGCAAAAACCATGTCTGTTGATTATCCAATCAATTAAATTTTTTTGCACTTTTCATTTTAGTTACAATGATAATTATACTTTTGAGAGAAAAAAAAATTGCTCCCGTAAACAGTAGTTGTAGACAGTTAAAATACAATTACTCTCAAAATTTGAGAGATTTTGGATGAAGAATCGCTTGCGGATTTAATTTTTAAGATTTGTTGGATTATGTAAAAAACACCTTAAAAAGCGTTATATGCAAAACTTGACGTTTTAATTATGTTCATATTTAAATGTTTTTCAATACTATTTGCTTTGCTGAATGTTTTAAGTTTATAATAATTTATAACAATTAAGCTAAATTTATAACAACTTGTTAACTATTTGAAGATTTAAATAGTGAAACTTTTATTCTTATATTAACAAAAGAATATCAAAATAAACATTATTTTCACAACTTAAAACATTTTGACATTAAAAACCTGCATATATATTTTTAGAAAAACATTTTTAATTAAAAAATATCATCATTAGAGTGGGAATAATGCCCTTTTGAAATATATGGTTTACGCATCTTCCTGCTAAGTAGTTTAGTTAAAATGCAGTTGTGTCGATTCTTGAATCCATAAACATATTGAACTGCATCCAACACAAGTTTTACCGCTCGCTCAACACTCTGGGAGTGAGATGGAAAGTTGGAGATTTCAGGTTTAACATTATCGTCAATCATATATTGGATTTTTTCAACTGAAAAATGTTGTGATGTTGAGGGCTCCGTAAATTAAGTAATGCTGATGTCTACCAACTCATACCAATGATTAGCATTAAAATTAATTTCTGGAATTTTTTTCAAATTGACTTCCAAACTTTCGTTGTTTAATCTATAAATATAAATCAAACCCAACTACCACATTTAATGTATCATTTTTTTTCAAAACTTTATTTTAGTTAACTATAAAAAAATACTTTTGCCTTAGACCAAGTAGGATTTGAAAACCAAAGTTTCGTATCTTACTGTCATTATCATTTAGCATGGCATAAAGAATATTTTCAGGTTTTATGCACAATGCATTGTTTTTAATGTTGTTTTTTTTTTAACAAAATGTTTAACATCATCAAAGGGAAGACTATTTATTCTAGTGATAGTAGAAAAAATAAGGCGCGGAGATTTGTTAAATTTTGAAGATTTTTTTATATTGAACCACGTTGGAGCGTAAAACTGAATAATAAAACATGAGTTTTTTTAAAGAAACAGTTGGTTGATTGTCTCTAGTATACAAACAGAGAAAGCGAATAGCTAGAGTTAACCACCTTGCATAGTTAAGCGGTCCAATTTTATAGGGGGTCCAATTATCAGAAACTTTACCAAAGCCTATTCCTTTGCAATATTCAAATAAGAGTCTTTGATTGCAACTAAGGTCTACTAGTATTTCTTCTGGAATATGTCCATCTACAATTGGGTTTTTAATACAACCAAACAAAACTTGATTTCTATCCTGAATATTTTCAGCACATCTTTTGCAAAAGTAGACCACTAAAGCTTCTTGGCCCAGTTGTGTCACCATTAAGTTTTACAAAAAGAGCTCGTAACCGAAGTTAATTTTGATGTAATGCGCATCCAATTAGATGTAGTTTTCTTTTTAAAAACTCTTCTAGTTTTACCACTAAGCCACTTGTTGGTCCAGTATTGGTAGCAGTATTATCAAGAAGAACAACTTGTATACTTTCCAAACTGTTATGTTCTTGTAAAACACTGAACGTTTCGGTAGCAAGAACTAAACCTGTAGTACCGGTGACAGGAATCGTCCTATGAGTCAAATAATTTCCACTCAATGTTCCATCTTCATAAGTAAATGTGAGGTGATGTTCAGGTTCAATGCATTTCTTTAGTACTTCTCCTTGAGGTAAGTTTATTACTTTACTTGTTTTAGTTATTTGACTGAGCTTGCTGTCAACCCCAAGACAAATTATCTGTTTTTTTTGTTCTGAGTCCATCTCTTCACTAACGATTTTTACTTTTGACTTGGCCCTATCTAACTTGCATTTGTCAATCAAAATACCTTTAATATCAACGTCATTTTTCAAGAGATGTTTTATGTCATGTAGTAAAGTATTTGCAAGGGCTGCACCTATGTTTGACGAACACTCATTTCTGACTAATTCCATTTCAAATCTTGAAAGTTTAACTAAGTTGTATTTTCCAATAGGATTATTAATTGGTTTCCATTCACCTTCATCTTAAAAAGAGTTAAAATAAAATGCTTTCTGTTTCATCTATTACAAATATTTTATGTATTTATAAAATATTCACCTTCGTAATGGTCAAACTACTTGTTTCTTTAATTAAGTTTACTTGTGCTTTGAGGGATTCATCTTCATTAACTAGCTTATGAGATATTTTTTGTCGTTCTTTATCAAGTCTTTGAATCCTTTTGACAGATAATCTATCGACGGTAGAAAGTTGATATGCACCTTTTGGACCAATTTTTTCCTCTGATCACGAAGTTAAGCTCTGTCTTCCAGAGGTACTTTATTACTTTGAGAACAAAGGCATACAATATGTTCTTCGATGCAATTTTCTTTATTACACGAAACTTTTCTGTCACTACAGGGAAACACATCTAATAAACAGGAACACGCAGAAATATCAAAAAGTATTAAAGTATAACACTTAGAGTAATGGACAATGGCGTGAGTTTTTAGTGGGGACCAAATCACCAAAAAAACCTAAAATATTAAAACTTACAATTAAAAACCTGCTTTGATAAAAATAAAGAAAAAAAACTCTTTTGAAAAAATTGGGGCCATGAATTCAGGAAAGTTTTATATTTTAATCTACTTCAGAAATTGCAAATCAAAACTTATGTAATATAAACAGGTTAAAAAATTACTCTAGATAATTATATCTAGAGTAATGTTTTAATCGTATTTACCTTTGATATTAAACAATTTCTTTAAACTGCAGTTTTATTGTTGAACCTACTTTTAAATAAATTTAACTTTAAAACCAACTTTAAAATACAAACAAGAAATTTACATACAAAAAAGATTTACAAAGTTTAAATGCGTGTGAATGATTTTGCGAAACTTTATTGGCTTCTTAAAACAATTGTGTTTTTTAAGAAAGGTTTATTGGTTTATTGGTTTATTGGTTACTTTATAATCTCAAAATGAGATATTTTAAAAAGAGATTATAGACATAAAATAAAATTTTGCAATGTGTGAAATTAACAATTTAACAAAACTAGTTCAAAATTAGGACTTGAAATGCAAATCCGCAAGCCATTTTTAAACCAGGATACTTAAGATTTGGCAAAATCTCATTTCTAACCTAGACACAGACATATATATATATATATATATATATATATATATATATATATATATATATATATATATATATATATATATATATATATATATATATATATATATATATATATATATATATAATATGTATACACACACACACACACACACACGCATATATATATGTAAGGACAAAAAGTCAATACAATAAGTGTTTATTCTAACACTAAATTATTAATAAATATATCAAATCATACACTCTTCGTGAAGATTAGATTGATCTTGTTTACAATCAGCAGTAGTAAAAAGAGCCTGTGCTCCAATTGATGTTATATCAATTGCATTTAGTTCATTAATGAGGTTTTGAGCAATAACTTTGTCTGAAAGTACTTCTCGAAATGATTGAGCCAAATGAAGAAAAGATATTTGTCGTTTTACGGCTTGCACAAATCTTCGAGCAACTTAGAGTATAAACAAAAATAAATCTACCATTTTCTAATATATTATAATATTAGCAAATTTTCAATATAAAATATTATTTATAATATAAAATATTAGCAATATATATATATATATATATATATATATATATATATATATATATATATATATATATATATATATATTTACAATTTAAAATTTGGCAAAAATTAAAGAAATTATCAAAATAATTTGTTATATGAATCTTTTAGGTAAATATGAAAATACCTTGCATTTTTCTTTCAAGTAAATGTGTATTTGAATTTTTAAGTGCAATATGAAGCCAATTTTCTAAACTATTAACAAATAAACGGACTTCAGTAAGTGTTCTAAATGAAAAAGATAAACAAATTAACTTATTTTTGTATATTTATTAAATTTGTACAAAATGTAAGATGTTCAGAGGGAAATATTAATAATATTAATAGAATAGTGGTGGTAATAAAAATAATATTAATGAGCAAAATATTTTCACTTATGGTTAAAGTAAACATAAAAAAAATATAGAAAAATAAAAAAATATAAAAAATATAAAAAAATATAGAAAAATAAAAAAATATATAATAAAAAAATATATAAAATATAAAAAAATATAGAATAATAAAAAAATATAGAAAAATAAAAAAATATAGAAAAATGAAAAAGTATAGAAAAATGTTGAATGAAAAAACATAGGAAAAATGAAATATGCAAGAAACATTAGATAAGATAAAAATCAAACAATTAAAGATATGTTGTTAAATGTTTACAGAGCATCCTTTTACAAAATTATTTTTCATATAATTTATTCTTTATTGATTTTAATTGTGCAAATTATCATTTTAACTGTAATGCAATGTGTTTATAGAAGGAGAAGAAGCTGGTGAAGCTTAATCAACTTCCATAGATTTCTTCTTCCCAACTTCACTAACTTCTTCTCTTTCCTTTCCACCTAATCTTAGTTTTGTTTCAAAACCTTACAAAGTTGAATTTTAGGATTCATACTTGAGTGTGTGTCTATTTTATAAATCTATTTATTTAACCAAAAATTGAAAAATTACAAGTTTATAATTTTACAAAATTAGGTTAGGTGTCACTCATATAGTTAAAAACTAGTCAATGGAGTGACACCTAAATAAAATTAAAAAAAAAAAAAAAATCAGCAAAAATAATAAATAAAAGCATGTGCATTAATTTGAAATTAATAACAATAAAGTTATAGTAAATTAAATAATGACAAAAAATATGAAAGCACTCAATAACAACAGCAAACAAAAATAAATGAAAACAAACTTTACGCATACGAAAAGGCAAAACACCAAAACTACATTGTTTTTTTTTTTACACTTTATTTCTTTTATATATTTGAAATTTTATTTAAACAATTGACAATAAACTTAGTTTTTGATTTTCTTTCTTTTTCAACAGTTAAAAAAAATACAACCGCCATCTGCGATGACCTTGCAAAGAGTGTTATATATATATATATATATATATATATATATATATATATATATATATATATATATATATATATATATATATATATATATTAGGGTCAGAGTTGTTAACAAGGCCAAATATAGCAAGGCCAAGGACAAGGTAAAGAACACATCCAAGTATTTCACGGGGTAAGACTTAAATTTCGAGCTGCAAACAACAAATCCACATGTTCAAAATTAAATCAAGGTTATGCGTATATATTGACAATAAGAAAATATATTAAAAAATAGATTTATAGTAAAGCCAAATATTCTTTATATAATTCTTTTTATAGAACTTTCATACTTTTTAAATAAAAACTTTTCTATGAATGATATTTTATTTTGAATGAAAATTTTAAAATCATTCAAATTTTAAATTTCGAAAAAACAAATTTTTCATACATTCTATTGTCTTCAAAATGTCACAAGAAGTTTTCATTGATTTTTTTTAACTAACTGACAGTAAGTAACCAAATAATATTATATAACATCAAACGTTAATGAATTACAGCATGTAATTACTTTTAAACAATTCTATTGTTCTAAATTCAAAAAATAAACAGAAAGTTAGAAAAAAAAAATTCAAGGCCAAAAAATTTCAAGACCAAAGCCAAGGCCAAGATCAAGAGACCTAATTTTTGGCCTTAAGGCAAGGCCAAGGACTAACAACTCTGATTAGGGTGTGTCATAAAAAAACATTTTTTGAAAATGTCTGATGATACCACCTAAATGTGTTTTTATGTAATAAATTAATACTAAATTTAAAACATTTTTAGGCGTCGCTCAAGACCCTTAAACATCAGATGGGTCTCTAATATTTTGAAAAAAAAGGTTTTTAAAAGCATATTATGTTGGATCTCAAAAGAACTGCAATTTTATAAAAATTTCAAAAATAAACAACAGCAAGGAGTTGATGAAATAATAACTCACTGATCAGTTATTTCCTCTAAAGTTGCTGGAACCAGGCTGTCATTTAAAACCTTAAAAAAATTTTTAAAAAGTTATAAAACAACTTTTAACATAAAAAACAAAAATATTACCTATAAATGCATATTATATATATATATATATATATATATATATATATATATATATATATATATATATATATATATATATACATATATATATATATATATATATATATATATATATACATATATATATATATATATATATATATATATATATATATATATATATATATTTATATATATATATATATATATACATACATATATATATATATACATATATATATATATATATATATATATATATATATATATATATATATACATATATATATATACATACATACATACATACATACATATATATATATATATATATATATATATATATATATATATATATATATATATATATATATATATATATATATATATATATATATGTCTCAACCCTCGGAATTACAAAAAATGAGGTTGGCAAATTATTGCCGACCTCAATCTTTCAGAAGTCAGCATCAGGTCGGCAAAAAATTTGATACAAGGGTCCTACCATAAAACATAGAAAAGAGGTCGGCAATATTCTTACTTGAATTGTCTACTATGATAATTAGTAGTCTGATATAATTTGTTGGGGGAATTTATTCTTGGGTAAAAATACTGAAGAAAAAAAATTTAAACATCTGTCTACTAAAATATAACTAATAGGAAATGGCTTAACTAAAAGTAAAATAGTTAATAAAAAAAAGTGAAATGTTAAAACTGTTGAAAAAAATTAACTTAAAACTCAATAACTTAAAAATTATCAAGTAACTATTAAAGTTATAAAGAGATATTTGTAAAGAGATAACTTGAAATGCAACTTTTAAAGATCATCATTGTTGTCATAGTCGATATCTGTTTTGTGGCGTTTTTTTTTTTCATTCATAACAAGTTTCATTATGTGGAGCAAAATAAGTTGAAAGCCATAGAAATATCTTATAAAAAGAAAAATATTCTATTATTCTCTCTCAATCTTAAATCAAATTTAATTGAATGTTTAAAACGTTATGTTTTTATTGTAATTTATTATACTAAGACTTCTTTTTTTTAGAAAAAAAGAATTCCCACGTACATCATTAAGTGCATTCTAATAATGTTTTCTCATGTGCATCTTAATAATAATAATAACTTTTTTTTATTACTAATTTTGTTTGACAAAGATAAAATAAAAATTTATTTTACTAATGAAAAACAAAAGATGTTATGTGTTATTATTGATTCATATTTTTGAAAAGTATATATTTAGGGGTATACCTTTATTTACTACCATGGTAGTAAATAAGGGTACACCCTCTAAAATAATACATAACTCATTGTAAAATTAACACCTATTAAAGTTGCTTCTCTTTGTTATACTCCTGCTAAGGTTGCCTCTCTTTATTATACTCCTGTTAAAGTTGCCTCTCTTTATTATATTTGTCATATTCTTACTCCTTTTTATACTTCTAAAAATCTCTTACTCGTCTGATATGTCTAAACTTGACTCTGTCCTATTGTTGTAAGGTTGCATCTTTTTCTATTTTTTACAAATACTACCATGGTCGCTGTTTAAGCAGGTTTTTATCACCTGTTCCATCAGCCAAAATTTGATCCTACATGACTTGTCATTTAACTTTTTTTACTGTAAATTGCATCCTTTTAATGGTTCTTTTTGCTCAAATAATTATATGTTTAATTAAACAAACTATTAAACACATTTTTAAAATTTTTTATAATAAAAATTCAACATAAAATTATCAGAACCAAAAGGAGATATTTTTAGATGAATTAAAGGCCTAAAGTAAAAAGAAAATTTTTAAAATTAATATTTTTAACAATAAAACAATAGTTATTGTTTCTGTTATTGTTTTAATTACAATTATAATAGTCTGTGTGAAGTGGTATATACATACATCAATACATTCAGACATCTACATGTATACATATTTACACACTTATGCATACACATAAATACGCACTTACATTGTAAGTTGTTTCTTGTGGTCAATTATGTCATAAAATACTTACAACCAAGAGGTTTAAGGTTCAAATACACTATATTTCTCTGGAAATGTCTTGCAAGAGTGATTCAAGTCTTGCAAAGGTGATTGCAGATGATAACAAAATGTATAAGGAAAAAAAAAAGATTAAATCAAGCAAACGAGTGCCATAGAGTAGAAAAAATCTTTTTATACTTATATGTTACTTAAATCTTATGCTGTTCATCTAAAAAATTAAATAAAAGAAAGCCTCTTTAACCAAGGCCTTGGAAAGGTGAATACAGTAAAAAAAAACAAAAAAAAATTAAAATAATAGTTTGCAGATATATGTATGTGCAAAATATATATTTTGTAAAAAATTTGTCATTTACAGTTTTTTGAAATTATTTTTTACTCGAATAAAAATATTTTCTGGCTACAAAATTTTTTTGTAAATTTTAATAATTTTTACCATAAATGTTATAGCATCACAAACACAAATTAAACTGATGATCTCAGGAACCTCAAACAATGATTTTAAATGGTTTGGTATACCTTGCCAAAAATGCACCAAATATTGATGAATCTAAAATTGAAAAATATTGATAAATCTGTAAATATAAATCTGTAATATGAAAATTATATTGAATGAAATATTGAATGAAAATTATATTAGAGGAATGTTGCGTAAGATGAGCAGGTTCCTAAGATGGTATAACCTCTTTTACGGGTAGACTAATGATATTTTCCCAAACTTTTTTGGTTAAGGATATTTATACAAGTTCGGCGGTGTTATTTATTTTAATTTTTTGGTTGTATAGTTAATATTCTTTGATTGTTTTACTGTTAAAAAAATTTACCATCCCCGTTATAATTTTTTATTAAAAAAGATCATCAAAAGTTTATTAATATATTTAATTATTCATCAAAAGTTTATCAAGTTATTACATCCTTTATGGATGTAATAAATCTTTTTTGATAAAAAGTTATTACATATTTTATGCTTGTCTACTACTAATTCCATGGGTAACATGAAATAATACATAAAATTTTGTCATGCTAATTAAATTATGATAGTACTTGATGGAGTTGCTTATAATGATACGTTTTTTTTTTTTTTTTTTTAATTATCTTTGCTTCCAACAAGGCTGCAAGCAACCACTAATTAGTGTTGAATGTTACTGGAAGAGAAAAGATGAAGATTGTAGAGCAAGATAACGATTGACAGACGACTTAAAAGATTGCGAACTGTATGAATCAGGAAAGCAAGGAGAAGAAAACGGATTCCAAAGAACTGATGTTCGAGGAAAAAAACTAGACGAATAAGAGTTTTTGGAGCAATTAGGGACAGTAACAGAAAAAGGATGAGACTTAATTAAATGACGAGTAACACGAGAATGAATTTTAGTAGATGACACAAGAGACGCTAGCTCTTTCGAGCAGTGACCATTATAGTATTTGTAGAAAAGAGAAAGAGAAGCAACATTACGACGATGTGACAGAGGTTGAAGGTTGGCTGCAAGAGCAGGTCCAACTATGTTTACAATGCGTTTTTGCACTTTGTCTAAAAGAGAAAGGCCATCATTAGAAGATCCGCCCCAGATATGGCAACAGTATTCCATACAAGGCCAGATTTGAGAATTATAGAGATAGAGAATAGAATCCAGGGTAAGAAAGTGACGAGCTCGATAAAGAGAAGCAACTTTAGCAGATGCTAATTTTGCAACGGATTTGATGTAAGGTTTCCAAGAAAGATCAGAAGTAAGAGTTAATCCTAGAAGATGAAGGGTAGGAGACTCATCGAGTACATTACCGTTCATAAATATAGGAAGGTCTAAATTATTGCGATAATGATTGGCTGAAAAAAATTGAGTTTTATCTGAATTAAAGTTCACCAGCCACTGTGAGCCCCATGCTGTAGCAGAAGTGAGATCCTTTTCAAGCTCAGATGCCCCCTGCAAGCAATCAGAGGGAGTTGGCTTCTTATCATGACAAGAATAAATGGTAGTATCCTCAGCGAACAATGTTACCTTAGATGTGAGAATATCTGGAAGATCGTTAATGTAAATTAAAAAGAGTATAGGGCCAAGGATTGAATCTTGGGGAACCCCTGAGGTTACAGAATAAGAAGAAGAGTACTGTCCATCAAGGACAACTTTTATACTTCGATTGGAAAGAAAGGATTCAATAATCTTAAAGATGTTTCCAGATACACCGTAAGAAGAAAGCTTATGGAGGAGACCAGCATGCCAAACTTTATCAAACGCTTTAGAAATGTCTAGAGCTATGGCCTTAACCTCTCCACCTTTATCTTATGCGCGATGAAACCTATCGGTTATTACTGATAGCAAATCAGCCGTAGAACGAGAAGATCGAAATCCATACTGATGATCAGAAAGTAGGTTATGAGATTCGAGATTAAGTGCTTGTTAATTAAAGATTCAAAAACCTTGCTTATGATAGGAAAAAGACTAATGGAACGGTAGTTAGACGAATTGGATCGCTCTCCAGAATTTTTAAAAATAGGGATAACAGATGCTGCTTTCTAGCAGGCTGGAAAACAAGACTCTGATAAGCACTTGTTAAATAGTTTTGAAAGGATAGACGACAGCTCCGGAGAACACTTCTGCAAGACTATAACAGGTATGTTGTCCGGGCCGCAAGCTGTAGAAGAGTCTAAGTGGGAAATCACTTTAGATACAGAAGCTGGAGTGATACGAATGTCAAGCGATGGATCAACCTGTTTGACGGCTATATCAGGTAGAACGCAACTAGTGGCATCAAGAGATGATATTGATGAAAAATTCTTGGCAAACAACTCAGCTTTGTCTTTAGGTGAGGTGACAAAGTCTGAACCATACAAAAGAGGTGGAATTACAGACTTGCCCTTATTATTGATACTATTAAAGATTCTCCAGAAGTCACGAGAGCCTAATTTTTGTGATGAAATACGAGATTTCATGATCTGAGAATAGCGGGCTTTGGCGTTAGACAAAACCTTTTTACAATGGTTCCTAGCAGTAATAAACAGACATAAGTTTTCTGAAGAATTGTTTTGCTGATAGATATGGAAGTAATGGTTTTGATTAGCAATTCCAGCAGCACAATGTGAGGAAAACCATGGAGAAGAGTGAGGCTTGACCTGGAATCGTCGAGAGGGAATAAAGGATTCCATGCCAGCCTGAATCCATGAAGTTATGTAAGAAGCACATTTGTCAACAGGAAGACGAAAGATTTCTACCCAGGGGCCATCACGAAGAAAATCACGGAAAGAGTCCCAGTCAGCTTTAAGGTAGTTGTAAGATGTACGATGATAGGGGAATTCTGATGGTAAAGAAGAATGAGATAATAGTTTTAGAGAGACCAAACCATGATCAGAAGCACCTAAAGGTGAGTGTGAAGAAACTGAGCACTGACTAGGATCAGAAACAAGACATAAGTCGAGTAGAGAAGGTAAATGATTCGGGTTGTCTGGAAAGCGAGTTGGAAAGTTGACTATTTGAGTTAGGGATTGAGAAAGGCAAAAGTTGTGGGCCTTAATGCCTGCAGAGTCACTGACACTAGAGCCAAGCCATTCAGTGTGATGAACATTAAAGTCACCAACAACAACAATATTGGCTGATGGATAAAGAATGAGAGCTTGGTCAATGTAATCAGAAATAACATCAAGAAGAGTGCAGTCTTGAGATGAAGGAGAGCGATATAGAACAAAGAGAAAGGCGATAGAGTGAAGTGGTGCTAAACGAAAGCACATAAAAGAGTAGTCTGTGGATTCAAACCTAGTTCCCCGACAAATGGGTGAATTCTTACGAATGTAAATGCCCAGGCCAAGCATGTGACTATTGGAGTCTTTACGAATTAAAGGAAAATAACCATCAACACTAAGATCACAAGATGAGACAGCTGAACTCAAATTAGTGTCACAAAGAGCAAGTAGGTCTGGTGAACTTTGCAAGATATAAGACTCAACAGAAGACGCTCAAGATGTGATGCAGCTTTTTATTAAGAAAAGCGCGTTTTTTTAAAGTTATTCTCGGTGGAGCTTTATTTTGGTATTTCAAGAGCAAAAGTTTTTTCAAAAAATAGTATCGTTAACTTTTTTAGAGATTGGAAAGATTTATTATTGTTTTTTTTTATGGTTGAGATAATTACTTTTTACTTAAGTATAGTCCTTGAAGATACAATTTTATTTAAATTTTTTTTTGTGATTATTTTTTTGTTATTTTGAGTATTTTTGAGTTCCATTAAGAAAAGCTTATCTTAGAAAACTGGTTTCCTAAGATGAAATGATTGGTTGTGCTGAAGAAAACGCAATTTTTGGTATAAAGATTTTTTTTTAATGAATTATTTATTTATATTCTTTGAGAGGAAAGATGAAATTATCATTATTCTTAAAAAAATATATCTTTTTGTAATTTTTTGGGAGCAAAATACATTTCACTGAAAACATGCTCAACTTACGCAACCTTACCCTACTACATAAGTGATTATATTATGGATTTTTATTATATTAGCATAATATTATATGAATATTAAAAACATGCCGCTTCATAATTCTTAGCTACTGCAGTATCCAGTAGACATTGACAATGTGTTCTGTACATAACCATAAAGGTATCTAACTAAATTAAAAAACAATCAAACAATGAAATAACACAATGATCTGAAAGTATAACAACGTTAAACAACCTGAACATTACTTAAACAATAATCAGAATTAATAACATAAAGTAAAAAAAATTAATAAACAAAACAGATAAAAGTTGCCTCTTAGGAATGCTAAAATGAAAATTTATTTAGGAGTAAAAAGGAAAGTAAAAAAAAAAAAAAAAAAATGAAATGAGAGAAAGTATAATGAGTAAAAGATTTAAATGGATTTTAAAATAGATTTTTATTTTTTTTAAGGTTTTTAATGAAAAGAGAAATGAGGGAAAAAAGGATTGGTTATAATTAATACTTAATTTAATGCTGTTCCTATTTTTGCTGTTACTCATTAGTGCGTATTTACACAGAATTTTATAAACAAGATTTAGCATGCTTGGCCTTTTAATATTTCTTTTTATATTTTTGACCACACAATGAGGTATTCTTAAATCTTTTTAATCTGTTAGTATCTGCTTAATCAGTAATAAGATCGAAAACTTTTTTATTTGATGACTTCTGTAATAAAGGATAAACCTTATGTTGTTTTTAAAGTGAAAAAAAACAACAAAAAAAAAACAACAACAAAAAAAAGAACGAAAGTAAAATAAGTAGAAGATTTAGAGTAGAAACAAAAACAAGTGAAAAAAAAAGTGAAAACAAAAAAAAAAAAAAAAACAAAAAAAAAAAAAAAAAGAACGAAAGTAAAATGAGTAGAAGATTTAAATGGATTTGAAAAAGGATTTTTTTTTTTTTTAAAGTTTTTAATGGAAAGAGAAAGTAGGAAAAAAAGGATATTAATTAAAAAATTAATAGCGAAAAAAAGTCAGAGAAAAGACAAAAGTTCAAATTCAAATAAATAAATTTCATAATTAATCAAATCAAATGAAGATTTTTGTAAATAGTTTTTATACATAACTTGGTCACTTGGTAACTTGTAATTTCTGTGTTCTTACTCGTTTTGTAATTGATGATTTTTTTTACAAATTTTCTGAAAGATTCTTGATTTTTTTACTTTTCTTTAGATCTGTTAAGTGTAATTTTTACTTTAAAAAATGTTCTTCTTTACTCCTACTACAGGCTTGGTCGGGAAGCGGGAGCGATCGCTCTCGAATACTGACCACGGAAATTATATTTAGTTGCGAAAAACTGGCCAGGTTTTTTAGTCGTTTTGAGAACATTTAAGTTTATGTACGAAACAAAAAATTTTTGTTTTACGGACATACATGGAAACATAATAAACTTGAATGTTCTCAAAACATTATTGTGCGAAAGAATAAAAAGAATATTCGCGAGCACTAAAAACCCGCCAAATTAACGAAGAAACTAATTCTATTGGTTCAAAAAATACGCTGACTTAATTACGCGAAATAAAGTTCTAGAGTATTCTGTTAAAATGTTTTTGAAAATGTTTTAGCTACGTTTTGAGATTTCTAGCATAAATTGTTTTAAGAATGAAAAAAAGCCTCTATATGGCAATTAGCTGGAGGAGGATAAACCACAATACCAAATTGTTTTAAAAATAAATATATGTTATTTGTTTACAAAAATAAAATTTTTAAATATGTATTAAATTGTTAAAATTTTAAAAGTTTATTATAAATTATAGATTTTATTAGTATATTCTTATTTTTTATTTAAAAAGTATGTATTTTTTATGTAAATGTAATTTCGTGTATCTGTTTTTTATTGTAATGTATCTTTTAAAGCAAATTTTATGATTTAAACAAAGACTTACAAAAATAATTGCGTTTTCAATGAAGTTATAATCATTATAGTTAATAAAACTAATTATGTAACAAATATAAGAAGTTTCTGGTTACTAAACACAAACAAAGCGTACAAAGTAACTCGCAGATGAACAAGCACCGCGCCTGAGGTCATGGCAGAACACAAATATATATAGCAAATAATTAGATATAAAGAAAAGTTACTAGATATTGGTTTACTAACTCTAATTATTTTCGCTTAAGTTGCCATTCTTAAAACTCGTTATACTTTTTTCTGCTTTATATACTAATTAAAATTAAAAAAAGCCCACTCACTAAATATTACCAGCGATATTGTGAAGCAGTTTCGCTTCCTCGTCATAAAGTATTATTAACCTTAAGTTGATTTCTTTATTGTTAATTTAATTTCTATAGTAATTCAATGATTTAATTACTTCATTTATTTATCTCACTAAAAAGAATCGCTTCAAATATGTTAAACTTTTCAAACTACGCGAAACATAAAATAGGTATTGAAAAAATTAACTTTATTATTTATAAAATAATTGAACTTAAATAAAACTAAAACTTGCAAACTTTGTTAAATAAAGAATATTTGCTTCTTTTTTAAACAATCGTAAGTTGTTACTTTATATAAAAAACATCGCTTAATTTTATAAAAAAAATTATAAAAGAGCGATGTTTCGAAAATATTTGTCCTAAACGTAATTTATTTAGCTTTAAGTTTTTTCGCGTTTAAAGATTTCGCGTTTAAAAATTTACCTAATTTTTTTTGTAATTGTCTCTCATCTGTCCAAATAATCTTTAGCGCTTTTTTTTTTTGCTTTTTAAAATGCTCAAAACGACTAAAAAATCTGGCCAGCTTTTCGCAACTAAATAATATTTACGTGGTCAGCAGTCGAGACCGATCGCTCCCGCTTCCCGACCAAGCTTGCTACTATATATTACTATTACTATATTACTATTTTATTTTAATTAATGTTTAGTGCTTTTTTCATTATTTTAATTTTTTTATTATCAGTATTGTTATTATTGTTGTTACCATACTATTTTTATAACTATTACTTATTACATATATAAAATTCTATTATTCAGTATTTACTTAAGATTAGTAGAATTTGTAAATATCCATGAAAATATTTTTTCAGGATATATATATATATATATATGATTGATTTACCTAATACAAAAAATACTTTAAAAACCATATGAAACCATAGCAATACATACTAATATCATTTTTTTTTTTTTACAAATTGTCGAGTAGCAACACAACACTTTAAAAACAAGTTTAATTTAGTGGCTAAGCAACACAACCCTTTAAAAAAAAATTTAATTTAGTGGTTAAGCAATACAACTAAATGCTCTTCGGACATGCATACAATCGGAACCAGAGCCGTACTTTTACAAGAAAGAAGCGGCGCACAAAAAAAGAGCGAAACAGATTCGGAAAGTAGCAAAATTAAATAGCCTTGCTGTATCATTAGATAATTTAAAAAAAAAAAATTTGTCAGTTTCAAACACTACTTTAATTGAAACATGCAATTTAAATGGTAAATCTCAATTTGAAAACGATAATGTTGAAGAAAATATGAGCCACAACTTCAAAATATCGATAACCAGAACAAGAATGAAAATGTTGAATCAGGATCCAATTGTGTCAATATTGAGGGTAATATATCTAACAAGACTTCAGAAATTAGTGATAATTTACAAATGGAGAGCACCAAAATGTAATTATGATATATTAGATCCTGCAACATGGAGTTGAAATTGACAACAAACAATGGATGTTATTAGTAAAGCAGTTACCAAAAAGTATTAAAGATATTCATTATAAAAGAAATTCTCAAGGAAGATGTTTCAGTGACACTTTTTTTCAACGACAAATAAAAAATGGTGAAAAAGAATTAAGAAATTGGCTTTTACATTCAAACTCGACAGGAAAAAGTTTCTGTTTCTGTTGTTGTTTGTTTTCATCGATAAAGATAAGCTCAACTTTAAGTAGATTTTCTGATTATGCCCATTCAGGAATACGGTTATCTTTAAAGAAACAATCAGCGAATTCTAGAATTTAACATTAAACTCAGAACAGGAATAGATCATCTCAATGAAGATGCGTTCAATTAAGAAAAACACAGATAGTGAATAATTTTAAAATGAATTGTTAAAGTGGTATTGTTTTTAAGTGAACGAAATATAGGTTTTAGGGGCAGCAACGAAAAAATCTTTGAATCAAATAATGGTAATTTTTTAGTAGCAATTGGATTACTTGCTGGTTTTGTTCCAGATCTCAAAACGCATTTAAATTCGATCACTGATACAGAAAAAAGAGTTGCATCATATTTTTCTGCGAAAAGTCAAGTCAAAATTTTCTTACAACTAATTTCAAGAGTTTTACATACAATTGTAAGTAATATTAAATCAGCAAAATCTTTTTCTGTAATAATATTCTACACCAGATTTTTTCAAAAAAGACCAGTTGTCCATCATCATTTGGTATGTTATAATAGCGGACCAAAATCCAAGAGTTCAAGACTTAAATTTTTTAGATATATTATATCATCAACTGGAAAAAATTTAGCAAACGTTTGTATTGAGGAATTAGAAATATTAGGAATTGCTGATTGCCGAGGTCAGTTGTATATATATATATGAAAGGAGAATATAAGAGAGTGAAAAGTTGAATTTTAGAAGTTAACAACAAAGCATGGTATAGGCTGTGTGATGGACATAACATCAATTTAGTTATAAATGATAGTGTTAAAAACACTATTAAAAGTCAGAATTATTTAACTACATTAAATAAAATATATAAGATTTTTGCTGCATCAACAAAGCCATAGGCTATTCAAGTAAAATATTTATCCGAAGGCGCCATGCAATATTCAATGGGAATATTGCTTTAAAAGTATAAAAGCTGTGAAATACCAGATAAAAGAAATTAGTCTTGTGCTAAACTTAAAAATAACTGTTCAGGTTGTAAAACTTATAATAAAATAATAAAACAAATAAAATGTAATGAATTTGTTGTGCACACAACAATTTGGTATCACTTGTTATTAAAGCTTCACATTTTCAGCTGATTTTCAGCTTGGCCCCAAAAAGTTACAGCACAATTCTGATTGGAACCATCTTAAGAGATAAAAAACTATTTTTTTTTAATTTATTTTAATATTTATTTCACAAACAAAAAGTTTCCATTAAAAGTAGTTCAGGATTTTTTCACAATAACTATATGATTTGCAGTTACCATTAAAAGTAGCTTAGGTTGACTTGAATTATCATTTGTTATCATCATTAACAAAAAGTAAAGAAGAACTAATGTAATTGTTATCTCCTCAGCATTAACTTTCTCCTTTCTTTTCGATTCTTAATTTTTAAAGAACAAAAAGTTTTTGATCCACCTCAAAAATATCAAACTGATTCCATTTAAAAATGTATGACAAATTGATGGGTAGCCATAAAGCTTAGTAAATTTCATCAAACATTTATAAAAATTTTAGAAACATTTTATATAATTTTTTTTTTTTTGATATAATATAATGCTTCAGAATATATATATATATATATATATATATATATATATATATATATATATATATATATATATATATATATATATATATATATATATATATATATATATATATATATATATATATATATATATATATATTTGCATTCACTCCCAACAAGGCTGCAAGCAACCACTATTAAGTTAGGAGTTACTAGGAAAAAAAAGAACAGAGTTATAGAGCAAGGACACGGTTAACAGAAGACTTGAAAAGTTGAAGGTTGTATGAGTCAGGAAAACATGAAGATGGGAGAGAGTTCTAAAGGATTGAAGTGCGGGGAAAAAAACTAGATGAATAAAAGTTTTTAGAGCACGCAGGGACAGATACAGTAAACGAATGAGACTTAGCTGAAAGACGAGTAAAACGAGAATGAATTTTAGTTGATGGAACTAGAGATGATAACTCCTTTGAGCAATGACCATGATAGTATTTGTAGAAAAGAGAAAGAGATGCAACTTTACGACGATGGGAAAGAGGTTCAAGCTTAGCAGATAGTCCAGGTCCAACAACATTTACAATGCGTTTTTGGACCTTGTCAAGAAGAGAAAGTGAATCGTTAGAAGAACCAGCCCAAATATGACAACAGTATTCCATGCAGGGATGAATAAGAGATTTGTAGAGGTAGAGAATGGAATCAGAAGTAAGGAAATGGCGAGCACGATTAAGAGAAGCAACCTTAGCAGAAGCTAATTTAGCAATCGATTGTATGTATATATATATATATATATATATATATATATATATATATATATATATATATATATATATATATATATATATATATATATATATATATATATATATATATATATATATATATAGTTACACAATATTTAAATAAGAATTAAGAAACTTAAGAAATAAAAAGAATTTATACAAAATAAAAATAAAAATACTGTCTTCTTTTTTCTTTTAACCACAAATAGAGATTTAAAAATTGTTTTTAACTTATATATTAAGTTGGTAACAATACCTTGCATGTTTCTACATGATATGGTAAATGTAGCTGATGAGGAGAAGGAAAATCTGGCAATAAACTGCCAGACTTTGCAGCAGACAAAATTTTCCGTGAAGCATTATCAGAACTTAACAGCTTTGATCCTGAAAACCTAGTTCAACACAAACTATAAACAGAAACAGCAGAAACTACAAGTAAATTAAAAAAATTTTCAACAAAAAAACTACCATAAGATAAGTTTTTTTTGACTTTTATCATTATTTTTAATTACTATGTTGAACACATGTTGACATGATAGTTACTAATTCTTTTAATTACTATGTTGAACACATAACACATGTTGACATGATAATTATCAATTCTTTTCATTACTATGTTGAACACACAACACATGTTGACATGATAATCATAATTTAATATTTTTAATTACTATGTTGAACACATAACACATGTTGAAATGACCATTATCAATTTAAATTAAATCATGCCTTGTCAAACCTATGCCAGAATAAACTGTGTGATAGTATTTTGAAGATTCTTTGATGGCAACTCCATAGTAATGGTATCTAGCAAAAATATATCATGCTTATACATTTTTGGATATGAAACAAAAGAAAAAAAAAAATAAAAATAAAAAGAAATTGTATGTTACTTAGAATATAACAAAAAAAAATTGGTTTCTCTTTTTAACAACAATAAAAATATTACAAAAAAACTTTTTTTTAATATTTGAAAAAAAAAAAGAACATGACTAAAAGTATTTAAAGAATACGAATCAAAAGAAAAATGGGAACCAGTCAAAAAAGAAAAATGGGAACCAGTCAAAAAAGAAAAATGGAAACCAGTCAAAAAAGAATCAGTCTTTTAAACATACTTTAAAAAAATTAAAACACTGCTATAAACTGAAAATATCTAAAATAAATAAAAAAAACTGACATACTTGGAGTTTCCCCTTGTTCCTAATCTCCTTGTTGTTAACTCTGGAAACTTCTGTCTAATTATCTGAGAACACAATGTAAAACAGTTAAAATTACAGTTAAAAATCATGAAAAATGTAATAAAAAATTTAGTTATAAATAAAATTTTCTATTTTTGTTGATTTTGAACTGGTATTTTTTGCAGTCTGGGTTGGATACTTGGTACACCTCAAGTTTTTATCACCAAGATAATAGTTTTAATAAATTTTAGGGTTTTTCTTAAATTTTCCGCAAGTTATTTATCTTAATCATGCAGTTATGAAAATTTTCTAACTAAAATTAACTACAAGTTACAACTAATTTAAATTTGTATTTAAATAAAAAAAAACCATTTACAAACAAATACTTTTAGATGTTTTAGAAGTTTTAGAAGTTATAACAAACAGAATTTAAAATATAAACACATTAAAATACAAAGCTCACATTAGCTTGTAAATTCCAACTCCAACAAAACTCAGTTATTTACTGCAAACAACTATAGCAGTTCTGTCGACATTCGTATATTGATAAACAGCCACCCTCTCACTTAGTCCTCCTCTTTACGTCTTCTTGGATTATCATTTACTACTGACCTTAAATGGAAACCATATATACAATCATTTGCTATATTAGCATCTGCTAAGGTTGCTTCTCTTTATTGTGCTCGCCATTTTCTTTCTCCTGATTCCATTCTCTACCTCTACAAATCTCTTATTCATCCCTGTATGGAATACTGTAACCATATTTAGGCTGGTTCTTCTAATGATGCTCTTTCTCTTTTAGACAAGGTCCAAAAACGCATTGTAAACATAGTTGGACCTAGATGATGCATTGCAAACAATGATGGAACTAGAGATGAAAGTTCAAAGGAGCTTTTATCTCTAGTTCCATCAAACAAAACTCATTCTTGCTTGACTTTCATCAAAGTCATTCATCAAAGTCTCATTCTTTTACTGTATCTGTCCCTGCATGCTCCAACAATTTTCATTCATCTAGTTTTTTCCCCACACTTTGGAACAAATAAAAAGTGTTCCTCTAAAATTGTATTTATTTTTTGAAAAGTTTTCTTTTCATAATAAAAAAAAACTAAAAAATGTATACTTTTTAAACTGAGTTTTTCGAATATCTTTTAAAATAATGGTTTGGCTCTGATTTGGGTCCAAGTATTTGTTTACTAGTACTGATTCCAATCATTTTGACTGATTCCATGAAAAAGATTACATGATTTTAAGTGGTATGGTTTTATATTTTTAAAATTTTAATAATTAGTTAATTCATCGGCATCAGCCAAAAAAGTGCTACTGGTACATCACTAATATATATATATATATATATATATATATATATATATATATATATATCACACACACACACACACACACACACACACACACACACACACACACACACACACACACACACACACACACACACACACACACACACACACACATACATACATACATACACACATACATACACACATTTGAATTTTTCTGCATTGTATTTTTTTGACCTTTTTCTTTAGAACATTAAATATGTAAAAAAAATTTAAATAGTTCAAGAATTTCCAAGTTTCTTCATATGAAGCAAATTATTGTTTATAGAGTTATATATTAGTTTTATATTTACTTATTTATTGATAATCTTGCATTAAATACATTTCAGAGTAATGAAATGGATTTTATGATGAGGGATTTCACTGTTCAATGCAGTACTTGCTGAGCAGACTAGCCTTATAATTTTTTTAAATTGCTATATTTATGAGTTTTTATCTGTAAAAATTTATAATTTTTTAAATCACTTTTTATTGTTTTTTTTTTTTTTTTTTTTTGTCTTTGGTGCTTAATTATTCTGATAATTTAAGAAGTGAAATTATTAGACTAAATTAGGTCAGGTGAGCTGAGATAAATCGATGTCAAAATGAAAGAGATAAGCCTACGAAAGCTGAAATAAATTGTAATCAAAATGAAAGAAATCAGGCTAGGCAAGAACTCAATAGGTATAATTATACTTTTATATATTTTATTAGGTATAATATTGCATAACAAACTTACTTTTTATTTTACTTCTTCAGTTCTACTTTGGTGCTCTGTGAACTACCATATGTTTTCTTTGCCTACTGTTAAAATATGGTTTTAACTTTGTAAATTTTAATTATTTATAACTTGCTATGTTGATCATTAGCTAATAGTTTAAAAAGAAATTAGTTTATCTCAATCAAGATGAGAATAATTTTAATTTCTGATCAAATTACAAAATATATTCGCACTGATAGCTATTATATTTTTGTTATTTTGTGTAATAGCTAATTGTCTTTGCAATAAATGTCTTTTCTTACAGATATTGACAGTAAAAGATTACTACATCTGTCCAAAAACATATGTGGAGTAGTCCAAGATCATCTGTACACTTTTGTCCAAGATCATCCAACCCTCAGAATTAGGAAAAACTCAAACTGTTAGAGGTCGGCATAAAGTTGGCAAAAAAAAATTGATACAAAGGGGTTACCATAAAACATAGAAACATGGTCAGCAATTTTTTGCCGACCTCAAACACTTTAAGGTTGGCAGTTAGGTCAGTATAGCCGAATGCCGACCCTTATTTCAAGGGTTGATCATCTGTATTTTTCTTTCTATATTTCTGTATTCTACTCTAATAATATTTGTCCAATATCATCTGAAAATTCAATGACCTCTAAAAACATCTTTAGAAAGATATATCTAAACTACATCTGGTAAATTTCCTCAAGTCCAGATGTAATTACATCCAAAAAAAAATTCTAAATGTAACTGAATCTTGTTAAAATAATGCATTATTGGTTAACTCATCTTAAAGATAACATCATCTTAAAACCTACAGATGTAGTTGCACAGATGTTATTACACTTTAGTAATTCAAAAGATGTAACTACATCTGTAGAATCCACAGATGTAGTTGCTCAGATGTTATTACACTTTGATAATTTGAAAGATGTAACTACATCTGTTATATAATAAATGAGTAAATAAAAGTATCTTTAATTTTACAAAGCTATTAGGCACTTTTTTGAAACCACAATCCGTCATGATTTGTATTTTATCTGTGTGAACAAAAGTCTATGCAAATATCTAATATAAACTTCAAATTATGTAATAAAAAATATTTGCCTAATTTTGATTTATATGCATTTTCATAAAACATTTATATGCCGTTTTATAAAGTTTAATAAGTCTTTTGTTTATTAAACAGTGTTATAAGATAGCATAGCATGCCAAAGTGCTTCCTGTGGGTCAAGAGTCCTAATAAGTTGCAGATAGCCTGAAAAAAATTGATAGAAACTTATTAAAGAAAAAAATAATAAGGTCCGTCCCCGTTTTTTTTTTTTTTTTTTTTAATTTTTTATAAAAATTTACAAAAGTTGTAAAGTATTGAAAGTTAATCAATAACTCAAAACAAAGATTTTTATATTTTGTTCTTTTTAAAAACTTATTGAAATAA